GTGTTAATACCTGGGTGGGCAAACAGCTGTGCATCTCTCTCTATGGGCGTTATAGAGGGCGAACAATTGATGAGTTTACCCTGTATAAGCTTTATACAGGGTAAAACGGATTTATTTGGGTTTAGACCCCATTGGGAGTTGGGCATCTGAGTGTTAAAGACAAGAACACTACTGTGAGCTGCTTTCAGTTAAGTCTACAGCTTTGGGGCACGTGGTTCAGACCCTGGGTCTGTGTTGGAGCAGACGGCGTGTCTGGCTCAGCAAGACAGGGTGCTGGGGTCCCGAGCTGGCAGGGAAAGCAGGGGCAGAAGTAGTCTTGGCACATCAGTTGGCAGCTCCCAGGGGGTTTCTGTGACCCAACCCGTCACAGAGTTTTCTAAAAGACTCCCAAAGTTTGGGCCGTTGCATTTTAATTTCAGCAGCTCGGGAAGTTTGCTGCAGGACATTTCATTTCCCTGGTTTTTTTGTTGAACAGCCAAGAGCCATTGCAGAGCCAGTGCCCTGGTGCCATCTGCTGGCCACAGCTGAGCGTGCGCCCCGGACTCACCGGCGGCCGGGGCATCACCAGGAGTTGGATGAAGGCGAAGTTGGCGTCCCCGGCCGGGGAAAGGGGGTTGGCGCGGAGGGTGACGGTGACGGCTGAACCAGGAGTGGCGCTGCCGGGCACCCGCAGCGAGATGACGCCCGTCGCCGTCTGGTTCCTGCCCAGTTGCAGCCTGCGCGAGAGGTGGGTCAGCATCGGTGGGGACGGGTCGGACGGGGAGGGGCAAGGGACAGATGGATGGAAGCTGGGAGCTGAAGAGGGACAGACGGCTGCTCTGGGGCAAGGAGGGACGGACAGACAGACCAACCCAAGGAGCCAAAGGATGGATGGATGGATGGATGGACAGACCAACCCTGGGAGCCAATGGACAGACCAACAGACAGACCAACCCAGGGAGCCAATGGACAGACTGATGGACAGACCAACCCAGGGAGCTAATGGACAGACTGACGGACAGACCGACCAACCCTGGGAGCCAATGGACAGACTGATGGACAGACCGACCAACCCAGGGAGCCAATGGACAGACCGACCAACCCAGGGAGCCAATGGACAGACTGATGAACAGACCAACCCAGGGAGCCAATGGACAGACTGATGGACAGACCAACCCAGGGAGCCAATGGACAGACTGATGGACAGACCAACCAACCCAGGGAGCCAGGGGATGGATAGACAGACGACCGGGAGCCCAGGGATGGATGGTCGGACAGATCGACACTGGGAGCTGATGGACAGACAGACGGGCGGCCAGCCTGGGGAGCCGAGCACAGACAGACAGGGGAGCGTGGACAGACAGGCCCCGGGGGCGTTACCGTGGGCTGGAGGTGCTGACGGGGTAGCTGGGGTCGCTGCTCACGGCCAGGCCCAGCTCCTGGGGCTCCTTGGGGTTCCAGACCCGCCAGACGACGGCGCCCGTCTGCCCCGGGAACAGGGGCCCGGCGCTGCTCAGCTGGGGGGAGAACCGCGGAGAGCTGGCTC